AAAATTGAACGCATCAATATCCACCATAGTTTTGGAACATATCCACAATAGTTTTGGAACATATCCACCATAATGAAAGGTACTTACACTTTACTAATTAGAAAAGATAACTAAGTGGGAGATGTTTTTTTTTTTTTGAGAGACTCCTCCTCTTGTTATTCTATAATCAAGCCTTGAAAATTCTCAAATAAATTTCTAGGAACAATCACTTTTTTTGTTAAAAAAAAAAATAGGTGAATTGTGTTTCAAGAGATTCACCAAGCCCAGGAACAACCCATGCAATATTTGATAATGAAAAGAATTAGGAGAAATGACAAGATTCAAGTAAAAATAAATAAATAAATAAATAAAACAGGCATCAGATTGAACCGGTCTTAACATATGCCTTTTTTTTTTTGGCCGTCTCCCAGCAGGGATATATGTTCCTTGAAAGAACCAAGATAATTAACTGATTAATATAATGCATTAATTTTTTTTTTCAAAGCGCTTCATTTAGACAAGGACGTCCTTAATTTTGCATCAACTTAAAGAGAAAGGAAGGAAAACCATACACTCAATGTAAATTAAAGTCCAAGTGAAACCGTGGTGCGAGCATTTGAATCACCACGTTGACGTAGACGATGTACCCCTTGACTTCAATTTTGTGTTTTATTTTAGTGATGTTATAGCAAAGTCCTGTCAATCGTGCGTGAGCATACTCCTTCAACATATCAAAGTTTAATTTTGACACGATAATAATTTTGGATTGGATCTTCTAAAATTGAGAATATGTGAATTTCATGAAGTTTTTCTTTTCAAGAAAGAGATAGAAAATTTTGTGAAAAAAATGCAAAAAAAAAATCATATAAATTCATGACACTTTAGAGGTTTTAAATCCAATAATTTTTTTATACCAAAGAAAAAGGATTATTGAAGTGAAGTTCATGAAGTTTTTCTTTTCAAGAAAGAGATAGAAAATTTTGTGAAAAAAATGCAAAAAAAATCATATAAATTCATGACACTTTAGAGGTTTTAAATCCAATAATTTTTTTATACCAAAGAAAAAGGATTATTGAAGTCTTTCTATGTTTACTTGGCTTAATAATAATATACATGCGCTCGACGCTAAAGAAACGTAAAGGAACACAATCAATCAATCAATTAACAAAAAATTAATAATTTGATTCTTCTAATTTTGATTCAATTAAAACTTGATCCTTGAATTTTGACTCAATGCAACTAACTAACTCCTATAATTTTAACTTTTGACTCGATTAAAATCAATCCTTAAATTTTAACTCTGTAAAACTTAGTCGTTTAATCATTTAAAATGTCGGTCCCTAAATTAAACAAATAAAATTATAAGAACTAAAATTTTTTCTTGAAGCATAAGGATTGATGTTTTAAATGGTTAAACTTATAAGAACTAAATTATAATGAATTGAAGTTCAATATGATTATGTTCTAACTGAGTCAAAATTATAGAAACTGAGTTAGATTAAGTTAAAACTAAAAGAATGAGTTGCAATTAAATCAAAATTGCAGAAACGAATTGATTAATTTAAAAAAAATTGAAGTTCAATCTTTTGATGAATTCAAGCTCTTGATCAACCTCCTAAATTAATTGCCCTTCAGGAGCCACAAGCTATAAACGACTGAAACGGGTAATCAATACTCAAAAGAACGTTTGTCATTTGATTGAAATAAATTTGTTAAGTCCAAGCGCAATTCAAAGTAATTAAGAGACCTTAAAGGAATTATATATATATATATATATTTGATATTAATTTTAAAGTTTCTGGAAAGGTAGAAAATAATCGGAAAAAAAAAGACAGCTAACTACATATAAAGGATATATAATTATGTAGCTAAAACAATGGAAGTGTACGAGCTAGAGGTTAAAATGGCAAAGTTCCCCAAAATTTTGGAGCAATAAGTGGTAAGCTGTTAAGCTATATATGTTCATAAAAGAACAAAATCAAGAGGCCACCAACAAGGAGCCACCCAGCATCGCTTGTAGCAAATAAGGTTTTATAAAGATTAGAGAGATCGAGATAGAGAGACAACTGATATGTCTTGAACTTCTAGGATAACAAAGGTTTCATATCCGATTATTGTTGGATTCAATGATTTTAAAATCCATAAGTAATTTTAGTGTATGTGTATGTAACGTCATGTACCGGGATAAATTAATCATCGCGCCTCAACTTTTTTTTACCTTTTTACAATTTTCAATGAGTAGAAAGTAAATAATTACATGAGAGAGTAAATTTTTTTTTTGAAAGGAAGCAAACTTTATTAAAAACTAAGGAAAAAGATTACAAACATGAAAGCCCAAGAATAATAATGTTACTATTCTCTCAAGCTCACAAAACTAAAAACAACACAGAAAATTGAAACAAAAGACAAACGAGAGAGTAGCCCAAACTGGAAAAACGAACAACAGTGAAACAAAAAGCAACAACAACGAAGAAGAATCCATCCGGCAAGCTGATATGGAAAGAACCAATTGCCTTGAAAGAGAACCCGGAATGGGTAGTGTGTTGCAAATGCTTCTAAACGTCATATCATTCAAACTCCTAAAGGAGTTGATAGAGGTTGATTCCCGTAGGAATTGATAAGCCATTGGTTTTGAAACAACAATGGAAACTTGAAAGCAGCCACTCCTTCTTGAAGCAACCGGCTAGAATGGATTCTTGAAACAACAAAAGCACAAAAAACAAAGCCAAAAACCAGGAACACTGCAATACAAGGAACAATTTTAAAATGTTGTGATAAAAAGCAACAGTTTTTTATGTTGCCTATATAAAAATTTTATTTTAACACTTGAAGACTGTTGCCCATTCTACTTTAGAGGACAGTTTGTAAATGTTACCAAATATTTAATTTCTTACTTAAAGTAGGGATCACTAGTGACATACAAAAAACCATTACTTATATTCACATTAGACAACACTTTTAGAATTGTTGCAGTTAAAATTATGGCCTAAAATAAAATATGTCCTAGTGACTGAATTTAATAATTCGTATTAAATCGTTAACATGTGCTCATAGCAATTAAAATTGTCTTTGTCAGTTTCGAGGCTTTCTTAGGGCGAGAAGTATTTGATTGGGTGAAAAGTGAAGCAGGTCAAAAATTGGTACGTCCGTTATATTTATGTTTGTGACTGTAATTGCGTGTTGCCTATTGTGAATGAGTTTCCGGGAAATTATATGTTTGAAAAAACGTATTATAAAAAAAGTTTGAAAATAAATGCATTAGTTGATTGATTATTCAAATCCGAGTACAAGTTGAATCCTGCGTAACACATATACTAAGATCTATAAATTTGAACCAGGGAAGCTCATAGCTATCTATAGTTAGCATTAGAATATCCAAGAAGAAGAATAGAGATCCATGGCTGTATCTTCTTCTCTTTTCCGTTTTCTGATACTTCTACTTATTTGTACTACTCTTTTCACGCAGCGCACCCATGCACGTGTAGGTGTGTAACCATCTATAACTATCTATATTATCTATCTGTATGATCACTATGTGTAAGTTGTATCTCAAAATTTGGATTTTTAACAATACTTTCAAGTGAAAATGGTGAAATAGACACATAAATAGGACGTACGTTTTTTTTTAGGTCAACTCTCTTTTCACTTTGCTTGAAGTCATTCTAGTTTAAGCATTTGTGCTTATGCATGAATTATAATCACGAATGTAGCTGAATTTAGAATGGGTGAATTTGGTTACTGCCTTTCATTTTGTATATTTTGATTAAAGTTATCATGTCTTCAAGATAACCAGTTAATTATCCGTGCATTACACAATTTTAAAAATAGTCATACTACTTATATTTTGTCATAAATTCAACATTTATATTGATATTGATTGATAATTAATTAATATTATACTGATTGATCAATCAAGGTAATTTGTTTGAATCAAGATTTTGAAAGAGGAAAGGCAGTACGCGTTGTAACAATAATCACTAATAATTTATATATTTATGCAGCTATAACCAAAAGGACAGCGAGTGGTGAAATGCCACGTCCTCCAAGTCCACCAGTGGAGCCGCCTCCATCGCGTCCATCACATCCATAACATGAGACATGTATTATACTAAAAGTTTAGGTGCGTTAAAGCATGTCTGTAAATTCTAAAAACACTTCCAAATGTACTTATAAAAATTATCTCGCGTCCTAGGATTTATGTCTCCTCGATCGTGTTTAGTTGATCCTCTTTTTTGATCCCCTTGCTCCTGCAGCTCAGTTCTTGCAGGGTTGGATATATATGTAAACTTAATTTCTTCGCCATAAGATTTCATTATTTGTCATTTTTCTGTTTTTTTCAGTGCAAAGAATTTGATAAATTAAAGTCGTTGTTAATCAATAAATAGTTGAACAAAGTTAATTAAGTTTATCCTTTTATCCTTTTATTCTTGCATTTAAGAATTATAAAATTTTAATCAAAGAAGATCATGATTTCTGCACCTTTGATGACTCAGAATCTAATATCTAAAATGATTAATTATCAAATATTAATGGAAAATTGTTATCTTCATGGATCATAAAGTGAATTATAGCCGGCCCTTATAAGTGGAGTCAAATGTCAATATCCAACAGCGAAAGGTTGGTAATTAATTTTGCAATAACTTTATAAAAAGGATTGCAAACTATAGGGTGAATGTAAATTAAAGTCAAAGTGAAAACGCGGCGTGAGCATTTGAATCTTCAATCTTGTGTTTTATGTGAGTGATGTTTCCATCGCAAGTCCACGTGGATGCGGTGTGAGCTTAATCCATCAACATATCAAAGTTTTGCTGCAATCATGATTTTCAAGGATTAATTACTGAAGTCTTTCTTTGCATACTCGGTTTCATATTTAGGGCGATCTTTGAAACTTTGAACCCTGTGTTTGACGTGTGGTGACCAAATTGTGCTGACTGACGACTTTAACACAACGACTAAACTATAAAAAGGCTTGAATGAATTGGTGCGACGATGAGGATTGAAGAGAGAAGGAGATGGAGATGAACAAGGGCATGTCTTTTGTTTTGCGTTGTGTGATATTATTATTCATTGTCTTCACTTCTGCATCCATTCCAGTCACCACCCAAGCTGCTTCAGATTTGCTTTTTGTTTCTCTCTCACATCACAACAGATTACTATACATGTACGCTGTATAATATTTGGGATTTTCAAAGGAATAAATTAAAGAAACTGGAATTTTCAATTAAATGAATGTGTGTGGTGATGTTTTTAATTTGCAGATATGAAGATGAGGAAACTGGGTAATTTGCCGAGCTCTCCTCCTGCACCCCGCGGTTCCCCTCCTGACGCTCCGGGTCATGGCGACTAATCGATTTTATATTTTATTTCTTTATATGAACTGAAATAAATCTGCCGTTACGTTATTATACAAGTCATTCCTTCATGTTTATTTTACTCTTTTTTTCTTTCTTTGTTTTTTTTTTGAGTAATGCTTGCGTAAGTACTAGTTGTAATCGCCTCTGGTTTTCTGAAGTAATTTCATCGAACACATACAAATTGAATTAGATGAACGAGAAGGCGTGCGGAATGAAGTTTATGAGACGTGCAAAAACATTTCTAACGATTGTATATGAAATTTAAAACGCATTTAAAAGGACCCAACCAGGGGAGGACCCAGCAATTCCATTATCTGCACATGAATATGATGCGACGGGCCTGCCCAACCAAGTTTAGCATCTTTATGAAGGATGGTTTTGTAATTTTAATGAAGAACAAATATTCCTATAAGACCATCCAAGCATGATGATCACGTCAGTCCAAAAAGAGTTATTTTTCTAATTAAATGATGGATGCAAGGTTTTTGTGCCTTTCCATTTTTTTTTATAAGTATAAAGAATAAGCTTCCTTGATATGAGGGATTCTTTCTATCAAGAATAATTTTTTTGTATATCGTCCAAGTTGCTTAAACATAAAATTTTAAATTTTAAATTTTATTTAAGATTCAAAAAAAATTTAATATTATAATTTAAAATGTTTTATATTATCTAAACAAAGAATTTAGATTTTATAAATTTTGAATATGAAATTTTAAATACGAGATTTTAAATTCAAATTTTCAACTTAAATTTATCCATCTAAACACAATCTTAAAGAATTGTAAGGTTTTACAACAGAAGTTCTTGAGGATAAATATCGTGTCTTTCTCATTTTATCTTTTAATCCTTTATTATAAAAAGGGAGAAGAATTATTTAGTCACATTCAAGGACGGAACTGTGCTCCGCAAGGGGGGCGACCCAGGAGACTTTCTTTGAATACCCCCCTCATTCCATTCTCACATAAGGCTCACGCACACACACTCTCCACAATAACGCCCAATTAAAATAATGTCTTACTATATACAATATATATATATATATATATATATTCTATTTAGACTATAACATACTGCAGTAGTAACTATTTCATTGTTTTAAAAAAAGTTAGATAAAATCTTAATCTCTTAAAATATCGTATATCTTTTTAATTATATTCTCATTATATATTTTATATAAGTGTCTTAATAATGATAATTAAAATCTCCATGCATATTTTTTTTCAAACAGAGTAATAAATGATGTAGAAGTATAGCTGAAAAAACAATTCAAAAAAATTACCTTATACCATATATTTTGAATTAGGCAAGGTTTCTAAAATAAATTTTGTATTGTGGTTCAAAGATATACTTTTCAAAAAATTTTCATGTAGATTAAGAAAAATTATTATATTTTTTATTTTTAAAACTATTTTACAAAAAAATGAGCATCATTTACTATCCTAATAGGACATCTTATAATTTAGACCTGCTTTTATTTTTGGAAGGTACTTTATAATAAAGGAACTTGAGAGAGCATAAGCATATTATATGATTTTATTTTAAATGTTTCAAAAATTTTCTAAAAAGTACATCTGATATTATATAATTTGTCATCTAAAATTTTTAAATTATAAAATAAAAATTTTAAATTAACAATATATTTTCTGCTTTCCAAAAATTGGCCCCCTAACTATTAAGGCTGGTTCCGCCTCTGGCCACATTATATTTCTCACATCCACATTAATTAATACAAAGATAAATTTCAAAAAAAATAATTTTGAAAAGTATTAGATATTCTACATTTTGAACTAAGTTTAAATGGAAAAAATGTCTTACAATCTGGATTAAAAAAAAATATTACATCTGACAAGATTGAGATTGACGAGATAGTGGGACTTGCAATCCTCTAGGTAAGAGAGGAAGCTCTGCAAAATCTGTTGCAAAAATTGGAAGTCAATGATCTCTCTAATAACACAAAAATTTGTTCCCACGTATTGGCTGTTGCCTTTGCAGTTTGCGATATATGTACGAAAATGTTCCACGGATCTGAATCATTTTTTTCCCCATTTATACCAAAATCAGCATTTCCTTTCTTTTTTTGCCTTTTTTTTAGATAGCAAAATAAAGCATTTTTTTTTTTTACATTTGGATCCAACATTGACATTGATAATGTCTCTAATTATGTGTTTTATTTTATGCTATGCTTGTTATGAGAGAAAAGTAGGGCAGAAAAAACTACATTTCCCCTCACTTGCCTAAGGAAAGAAAAATGGGAGAGAGAGAAAATTAAGATGAAAATAACATGTGAGACTCGCGTGTTTTTGTCTTCAATTTTTCTCTCCAAATATGGAGAGGTTTTGGCAAAAAAATCTATTTTCAGATTTATTCATCAATATTTTTTATTTCCTGCTGCCTACCTCCCTCTATTTTCATTCTTATACGCGGTTGTAGTTTAAAATTTTAAGATTATTATATAATTAAAAATTTTATAAATAAAAATAAAAATAAAATAAATAATTTACAATAACTATATTTTTACTTCATTAGTTTTTGTACAATTTTTTTTATTCATTGGTAACATAAGTTTTGTTATATCTAAATATTTACCAATAATAAGGTTATTATTTTTCATATAAAATTAAAAAATTTTCTCTCATCCATATTCTTTGTCGCATCTCATTTTTCTGTTCTCTCATTTTCTTTCCTCCCTATTTTCTCTTATTAGCCAAGCAATAATGTTGCCACCACAAGCCCGTTTTAATTTGGTGTGAGCATCCTCCATCAACATATACATCAACTTTTGCTGCAAATCACTTTTCATTCAAAGCAATTAAGGATTATTGTTCTGCATGTTTCAATATGTACAATTTGGAATCCATCTCCTAGCAAGAATGACCTAGGTTCATACTTGATGCTTTAAGCTACAAATATTTTTCGAGTAACCTAGGGGCTGTTTAAAACTATTTTTATTTTATTATTTTGAGAATTGGTGTTTTGTAAAATATATTTTGAAAATAAAATAAATAAAAATATGTGTTTTTTTCATTTTTCTTTTGTTCCCTACAACAATAATCCCAAAACATAAAAAAGTTATTTCCATTTTTGTATTCTCTAGAATAATATTTTATTTTTTTCTCTCCAAAACACTTTTTAAAAATATGTTACCAAATATATTTTTTGGTCTTTTGTTCTGAAAAATAAAAATTATTCCTAAAACAGGTTTTCAAATAAGCCCCTAGTTTTTGTTGCCTTTCGACAAGGCTTATCATCTGTACAACAAATTATTAAGTTATGGACCAATTCAACTCCCTGAATAGTGGACTAAATGAATCCGTTTGAGTTGACTTCGTCCTATCTTAACAAATTCAAAAAATATATGTTAGTTCTTTTTCAATCTGATCTTTTTTCGTCAGTCCTAACTAAGAACAAAAATCACAATTAACAATATAATGAAACATAGTCGTTTTGCATTGAATTATAGAAAGGGCAATGAAGGGGGAAAAATCACGAAGGGTGGAATCCAAAAAGCAAACCGAATCGACCATCCAAGTAAAAGTTTATTTTCAGATTGAAGAGAATAAACAATCATGTTCCAGAAGCAATGCATAATTTCCTTAATTATTTAGAATATCAAGTACTGGCAGTGACATTTTTCATCTCAAACAATAGATATATAGGTGATCAATAAAACGTTATTAATTGTCATTATTAGTTTACTAGAAATAGTTTGTAATATTTTATGGAAATTAGAGATGTGAATAAGATAACTTAAATGATATCCTGCTCGCAGTTGCCTCTATATATATATATATATATATCATAATTTAAATTCATATCCATTAACGTCTTGACTCTTGAGAGTTGATATTGTTGAGAATGAAGAGCAACCGCTGGACAATAGATGAGAGAACACATGGAAATGTCATGTTAACATGTTGAATATCCCAGTACGTAAACACTGACCCAATATGTCTCATTGGTTGCCAACGAAGTGTGGTGTAGTTGGTCAAGGATTCGGCCTTTACCCCACAAGGGTGAAGATTTGAATCCTGCTGACTAATGTGAGACACTTGTTGGTGGATGATTAAAAATAACAATGATTACATAGAAAATAATTATTTAAATTAACAGTGTTAGGGTTAAATGACTGAAAATATACTTTACAAAATTAAAAAATTAAATTGAAATCTTATATAAAATTAGAGGATCAAAACTATATTTTAACTCTTTTATTTTATGTAAGTGAAGCATAGTTTCCATTCAAATTTGGCTTGTATAAATTTAATGATAGAGGCCAAGCTTTAGTTGTCCAAATGCTTTGTGTGGTGTGTGTTCTTTCTCTTTTTCCCTGTAAACAATGTTCCAAGAGTGAAATTTGTGCTAAAAATGATATATGTATATGTACACACACACAGATGATCACTCCCACAATTAAATAAAATTCTTAATAAACAATTATTAGAGTCATCAAGTACTAATTAGAACCCTAATCACGAGTAACAATAAATAAATATATACATATATCTAATAACACAGTAGTCATTTTGCATTGAATTCAAACTAAATAATAGAAACAAACCATATGTGATATTAACGAAAAGAGTATTTTTCATTTGATTGAAGACAGGGATACTAAATAATGAAGGGAGGAGAAGTGACGAAATATTCAAAAGAAAAATAAAATATTTTAAAAAGTAATTTAATCGTTTGCTGCTGAAATCAGATGATTTTATATACACAAATTAAATCAATATACTATTTCAATACATCATTATCAATTTATCAATATATATATATATATATATATATAAAATAAAATATGTGTATCAAATCATATCATTCACAAGCTATAATCATTATTAATAGAACTACTTTTTCGGATTCCGTGCGATGCACATATAACATGTCTATACCCTGTGGAAGCGTATTGCCTTCAGGGTTCGTATGAATTTGATGTGAGTTTCATCCAGTTAAATCATGCTTGTAGGAGGCAAAATAATAATAATAATAATAATAATAAACAAATGCATATAAGCTCAATATAATTGATCGATATAATTTTTTTTTCACTGATTTTATAGTTAAGCATTCAAAT